TGTTCTTTTCTTAGAAAAAAAAATATATATATATTTTACATCAGTTGTTTACATTTTGAATTGTCTTTAAATTACAACAAATATGAAATAAAAGAAAAAAACAGAGGAAAAAAAAATCACACAACAAAATAAAAGAACTGAAGTTTTGATGGAATTTTAACTATGAAAAATGTCTGTCTAAACTGGTTGAAAGATAACTGAAATTATTTGATCATCTCTAAGCACAGGTATTTTATGTAAATTTACATTTCATTGCAAGCTGAATCTGTCGACTAAAAATTTCCATTTCCTCTCTGTTCAAACTAATCCCATTGACAGGCCAAATGTTTTTATTCGAATTCATTAAACCCGTAGACCTAAAACGAACCCTTCGTTTTAGGTCTATGTTAAACCCTTACATCTCCAAAATATCACATTCTGAGAATTTCCATATTTCCTCCGGAGTGTGTTATTTATATCAAAAACCGCAGAATTGTACTTTCCTGGATCCATAGTACCACAAATCATTTGCCTAAACAGACTTCCAATAAATATTTTTTTAACCGAATCATTTCTTAACAGTTTTTCAATAATGTTTTGGATTCCTAACACTATTTCTGACACAGAAGATGAATTTATATCTTTTTCTCCCAGTCCCACTTGTAGAAACACTTGTGTTGGACAAAATTCAACTGCTCTTCCAAAAGATTGACTATAAATAAAGCTTTTTGTTGTAGTATCTTTGTCACTGAAAGACCTGTGAATACTGCATGTTTGGTGTTGTGTTAGGTTAGAAATTAGAGTAGGATTAATATCAGGCAGTATTCCTCCTCCGCCAGATGGGTGCAGACCAGTGAATACTGTTTGGTGTTGTGTTAGGTTAGGTTAGGTTAGGAATTTTATTGTTTTTTTAAATGTTGCTAATTAAATTATAAATTCCTTTCTCTAAAGTTTTTATTATGTTATTTTATTTCATGTATATTACTTTCATTTGGCTGTAATATTTTTATATATGAACAAAAAATTGACTAGGAATAATGATCCAGTATCTTTAAGTTTTTTAAAAATCTTTTTAAAGTTTTTTTTTTATTTTTTATCTTTCGGTCATCTTTCGGTCCTTTGGTTTTAATATTTTTGTTTCAAAATTCAAATCATGGCTCTACACTTAAGGAGGCCTCCACGTGGCTAGAGCTGGGAACATAATGAAACTATGAATATTTTCAGTTATTACTAATTTAAAAGGTCTTTATTTATTAATTTGTCATGAATTATCAAAATTATCAAAATTCATATTTTCCTTATGTGTGTGCTAACGTCCTTAAAATGAAATTCTGTAAAGCATAACTGTACAATTGAGAATAGTAAAGTTTCAATGTATATACACATGCCCTGCCAGAGGGGGGTTGGTCAGACTAGCTGGGAACCCAGGTGTTTAAACGAAAGGTGTCAACAGCTGTGTATATAGTGCATGTACACACACAGGGGTGCCTGTCTATCCCAGTACAAAACAACAGAGCTAGCTGAGGTGTGAATAATATTCTCACGATAATGTTACAATACCAACTGTACAAGAATTCACATATGCAACATGCACATTTTTATTATTTTTTATCAGACTTTTTTATTTCATAGACCTGGATTCTAATAATTTCATTGTAATGGATACACGTTGCTTTCTCATATCAATGAGTATATTTTTTTCTATTTACTTGCATAAAAAACAAAACAAAACAAAAAAAAACCAACACACTCTCCCAAAAAAACAGAACCAAAAACATTAAAACAAAAAATTAGTAACTGGAAAATAATAATGAATGAATACTGAATTTAAAAATTAATTATTAAACATAGAAGAAAACATTTCAAAACAAACACTTTTAAATTAACAAATTCATTTATTAGTTAATTTAATTTAATTACATGTTATAACTGATTGGAATTGAGAAAAATTACTTTATTCCTTGATTAATGGACTAGTTAAATTCATAAAAAAAAAACAACATTCAATTAAAAATTTCACTGTAATGTTTTTCATTATAATAATTACATTAACAGATTCATTCATTAATTAATTTAATTTAATTACATATTATAAATGATTGGAATTTATAAAAATGACTTTATTTCTTGACTAATGGACTAGTTAAATTCATTAAAAAAAGTTCAATTAAACTGTAATTGCACTGTAATGTCTTTCAACATGATAAATATTTCATACTTCTTTTATATTCTTATGGTTTCCTTACAAATAATTTTTTTTTTAAATAATATTCATACATAATATAATATTCATATTGATCAAGATTACAGTAATTATTTCCACGGATTACTCGAAACGACTTCAGCGATCGCGAATTTAGATCGGGCGTGGTGTGCAGTATATCAAGACAAGAAGAAACCCGTCGATTCTGAGGTAAAATTGGCTATAAAAATTTATGGATGTCAATATCATTCAATTAAACATCACCTTAGGCCTTATATTACCCCATTACATTCAATTTTATGGGGTTTCCACCACTTTATTGGGGTTTCACCCCTACTGTATGGGTATTCTCCAAAAATCGGGGGGTTTCGGGTTTTTCCAGTTACCGTTTCCCTTTGTTTCATGTTTGTAGCATTTCTGCTGGCCGCTAGGGGGAGATAAAGAACGATAACCATAAGTTCTGAATTGTTGATAGTGCTCTTGAATAGACAAACAAAACATCAGGTCGTGAGTTCTACTTGGAATACTTCCCTGGCGTATGACATTGTCCGAACAAGGTAAATATAATTTCTGTAGGTTCATAGAAAGCTATTCTTACTCAGGTTTTATCTGTTATAACTTGAAATGTTAACAAAAATCATTCTAAACGCACGTGTTATGAATTTGTCAACTAGAAAAAAAATTATTTACATAGGTATTTCTGCCTAACCTATGCTAACCCATCAATTAAAAAGTGCTAAATATGTTTAGATATTTTTATGCAAAATTGCAGTTTTAACAGAGGTAGCGCTGTTTGGTAACCATTTTTTTTTAGTATATTGAGGTGGTGATGTTTAGTCGTTTTATTACCTCCCTGTTGTTTATAGTTTTGTTCTACATACGTCATATATTTTCATGGTCTAGGCATGTTCTGTGTAGTTTCATTAAATAAAATTATAACAACATTTGCTTATAAATTATACTAATATAGTGAATATGTTGAATTTAAATGCATCCCACTTTTTTCATGTTCTGTGTTATGCTACACTAATACAAGGAAACGGGTTATAGATAGGAGTTATCCTTCCTAACTCCATATTTATCTTTCCCTTGGGACACACATCGCTGTCTGAGGTAGGTTCTACCTGTCACTTGATATTATGAAATCTAGAAGGTGTTTAGGCAAATTTCATTTTGAATATACCATTGTATGAAGATAGAATAAAGAAAAATGAGATTTGCCTTATAATGTTGTATTTTTATTTTTAGGAAGAATTGCTAATGTTTGGAACATGTGGAATCTTTTCATTACGGGACTTTACATGCTACTTTAACATATATTACAGCTAATTTTGGGTATCAGTGGAAAAATTACCCGATGGTACGTAATCTTCGTCGCTGCCTGAACTGTAATCTTCTTCGTCACACATTGTTTCAAACAAAATACAAATGAGAAATCCAAATCTGAAACCGGAACTCAATATTTATGTGATGCAACTAATGAACGGAAAACATAGTAAATACTGTCTTTCTTTACAGGGTACGCTGCATTAGTTTACTGTAGCGTATGTTTGTTGTATTCATAACTAAGTATTCTTAGTGCAATTATTTATTTATTATCTTTTTTTTTTTTTTTTTTTTTTTTTAAATGTTTACAACTCGGTATAACCAAATTCATATTTGGTTTACAGTTGATCCCGATCCCGATCTTTTTTTTTCAGGCAGTTTTTTAAATAACTGTCTTCATCATCATTTATACAGGAAAGTCGTTTGACTCAGAAATCGTGCACTATATTTTTTTCTTTAAAAATTCTATATTTCTTTATTTCTTTGCAAAAGAAAAAATATTAAGAAAAACAATACAAAACAAAAAAATAAATAAATAAAACAAACACAAACAACAAAAAAAAAAAAAAAAAAAAAAACCCCAAAAAACAAACAAACAAACAAACAAAAACATAAATTGAGGCGAAAGGCATTGATTGAAAAAATGAGACCATGCAGGGGGATGGGGTGCAAAACACTGGTGGATTTGGAAGGGAGCCCCCCTTTTTTATGTCCAAAAGATAAAAAAAATTTGATATATCAATTTATTTATTAAATCAAAATGATGCTTAGTTTTTTTTTATGCAATCTAATTAATTAGATTGATTTTTATGTAAAGAATGATTTATTTCTCGAGAAAATAAATAGGAAGTTGTTTTTTTTTTTATTGGGGTGGGTGGTGTCATAATTGCGTAAATTCAACAATAACAAGAACTTTACTCTTGATACGAAATTCACAAAGTGAATATAATTGTCTTACCAGCCTATATTGCCTCTGAAAAACAGCCTATCTCACCCAAATTACGCGATCCGCCTATGATTTTTAATATGTTGAGAATTTCTTACAAGAACCTGTGTTGATCGAGCAGTTGCAATCTTTTTTTCAAAATTGGATTTTAAAAATGTTACAAATCTTTAAAAATCTACCGTGACAATTATAATAACCACTTCTCGGGCCTTTCCAACAAGCTTTTTTATTTGAGCTTGCTGCGATGGTAGTTGATATTTTCCGGATAAAACGGATATTACAATCAGACGATTTTACATCGAGTCTTTTAATGATAATTTTGCTGATTTAATTTTTAACGATAGAAAAAATGATAAAATTAGAACATTTTCAGTGATTTTATCGTAATTCTTATATATATTTTAAGATCTTTTCAAGATTTAAGGCAATAAAACATATTTACGAGAAAATTCGAGAGCCGCCATATTTGGATCCTTGCTTGTCAAAAAAGCAGAAATCCAATGTAATTTATTGTAAAATAGTCAATGACCAAGGCTTCTCCTTGTTCTTGAAAGGAAAAAACGTATTATCAATGAAGTTTTATTCCGTTTGTTAGTAGTTGACAGCAATGGATCACGGAGATAGTCCAGCATCGTCCCTGCAGTCAACCGGCGATACAGGCCAGCTCCTGCAGGAATTACTTAATCTTCAGAAATCAAACGGTAAAAATGAGAATAAGAGTCACACAATTGAAAAATCATTTACTTTTCCACTATTTCTGGTCTACCTTTACTTAACTGCCTCTCCTGGCGATGTAGTCATCCAAAACGTAATTTAATTTCCCGAATTTCCTCAGTTTCAATACCAATAAAATTGGTCAAATTGGTAAGGTATCACATTAATATAGAGGAACACCTCATAGTCAGCATCAATTTATATAGCTTTGATATATTAGCTTTGTACATCAGAATGTACACATTTCCTTTATTTAGATAATGGGTAGAGTTCACATTTATTCAGATGCACAAGATCTGGTGCACCAACTAATATTTTGGCATTAACCAGGCAGTTGTGTAACTGGATACCTATATTCACTTTTCACTTGAATAATAAATCTTTTATTTAACAGGCCTATCCACTGGAAGTTTGACTGTCCCACCTGGTCCAACACTAAACCAAGTTACAGACAGGTAATCCGTCTCTGCTTCTCACTAGGTCAGGGGTTTTATACCTTATTTGTTTATTTAAATCAATCAAAGCATCTTTATTTGTTTAAAAACAATTGTTAAATTCATTTTCAAGCCAAGATTAATACAGAAATCTGAAAGTAAATTTCAAGAATAACTTACTACAGGTTCAGCAGAGAGTACAACCAGAGGATGAAAGATGATTAATTGTTCTAGAATGTTTGCTCTAAATAGGAAATTGTTAAGTGTGTCATGCCTATATGTAAATTAATTCTTTTTTTAGCACTGAAGTGCCAGGATCAGGTGATGCCACTAACCCTACACTGGCAGAGTTAATGATGACAATGTACGACAACCCCGTACCCAGGCAGCTCATGTAAGACGTATAGTTTAAGCATCTTATGTAATAAAATTGACTTGTTTTATTACATAGTTATTATACTTTTGAACACATTTCATTAATATGAATTTTATAGGCTTGTTACATTTTATTTGATGGATCTACATGTATGTCAAAATCATATGTCATATGCTAAATTTGATTTGATTTGAAAAGCAGGAATCTGATATATAGAAGGAATGTTTTCAATTTTTACAGAACTCTCCAAGGGAGTGACACAGCCAATAGTTTTAGTGTGTATGGGAGAGAGGTAGAGATCATCACAAGTAAGCCAAACGAAGCGGTCAGTTCTCAGGCCAAGACGGGCAGTAATAAGGTCAGAAAGTAATCCTCAATATGTATTAAAAAAAACTCATGTGTGTTAATGGACTAAACACTGATAGATTTACAATTTCTTTATAGCAATACAGTTTATACATGCAGTTTATCTGAGCAGATGTTTACATGATCTTTTGTTGACTTAAGTTTTTTCTGAAGAATCAAGAAATTCATAATTTTGCAAGAAGCATTACCCATAAATTAAATGACTAGCTTTCAACATTATCATTCTTAAATCCATATAAAATCTCTTCACCAATGGACCACTAGAGAATTATTTTTCTTGTGATTTGAAATCTTAGAGCCTTTTCATGATATTAAATATTCATGGAAAATAAGGAATCTACAGTTAATGAAGAATGACAAATAAGTTTTAGAAGATGATAAATATGACACCCTGCCTCATTTCTGATCTGATTTTAGGTAAAGACAACACCTGTTGTGAAGTTTGAATGGGAGTCCGTGTACTATGTAGGAAATCTAGTCACTCTACACAGACTTAATGTGTATGCTGCGTACTCACTCAGAGGTACATGTAATAATATTGAAAATAAATACTAGTGATGTATAAATATGTCAGTATTCAGTAATTATAAATAACATCAATTACTTGAATATAACAGTTTAATGAATTGACTAATTTTAAAAGTTTTAATATAGGTATGTAAGATTAATAATACTGTGTTTTAATAACAGAATGCAAAAGACTTTAGACTGAACATATATTCTGTTTATCATGCAGTAGTTTATACATGTCTATGGTGAACCTCCTGTTTGATGTATGTTATAGGTAAATCTTTGGGCATTGTCTTGTACATAGTTAAATTCCTGTTTGTTGTGTGTTGTAGGTAAATCAGGGGGCGTGGTCCGAATCATCAACAGGAAGACAGCGGAGCGGGCGTTACTGAAGGACCTGACGGGTCGGGTGGTGGACATCGCATTCGCTTACACTGATGATGTCATCCTGGCAGCTGTGGACGAAATAGGGAATCTGCTTGTACACAATGTCAAGGAGGGGGACGATAAAAAGCTTCAGTATCCTCTGTTTATTTTTATATTAAGAAGTACCGTATTATGGGTATTTTTTACGTGCTGCTAATTTTTACTAATTTTTACAAGTTTTATAAATCCATAAAATTTAAACACGTAAAATTTCACAGAAGAAAAAAACTCTCCGCCTGAATTTTCAACATTGTATTATGAGAGTATTTCAATGTTATAATTGCCATTTAGTTAAGTACCTGGAGGCTATAGAATTAGTACTTACAACCGTTGGTATTTTTGGGAACTTTTTAATTGATCATCAATTAGGATCAAACGAGTAAATCTTAATGCACAAATTATATAAACATCGTCAATTACCTGGTTACTCTTACGTTACGCATGATTTCTGATAATGGCTTAATTATTACAGACTGAAGTCTTTAAATTATATCCATTTTTCAAGACTTTGACCCTTTCTTCTTTCTTATTTGCTTCCAGAGAAAACTTTGACATTTTAGTACACTGTAATCCATGTCCCCTATACATTCTGTCAACTTACTCATGATGCATGGTTTGAGTTGTCCCTCTTTGTTTCCATTAAAATGAAGACGGGCATGTGGTGCACAACAATAATTATACTAGACATGTGTATTAATTGAAAACAGGAATAAATGCAGGGCATGTGATATACATGTATAAAGGTATTTAAATGAATAAACATATCATCATTTAATGAATCGACACTCGTAATCACGGGAACAATTTCGTTTTTATTTTTACATCAGGCCATCCAGACACATTTAAGACATGTATTTGTATGTTAACATATTCAGAAAGCAAAACATTGATCTGGAACTTCAACTCCAATGATTTTAATTTTTACGGAAATGCTCAATTCGTAAAAATTTAACACGTATTAAATTAAATCACCCTATTTCAACCGAAATTCGTAAAAATTTACAGCAGTAAAAATTAACCATTATACGGTATTTAAAGGTTCTTTTACTGTTAATCATTTTATGCATTGCCAACACACAGTTGAAGTTTGTTATCTCAAACACTTATTTCTCAAATACTGTAAAACGAGAAAATTTAGCGCATACATATTTTAGCGCAAACACAAGTGGGAATGCATTGGCGCAAATAAATTTTAGCGTTTGCACCTGTCAGTAAAATATATAAATGTGATATTTTGTTTTGTTTACCCACACCCGTATTTGACTTTTTGTTAGTGAAACACATTAGTACTGTATATCTTTACGTTAAACCGCGGTACGTGTTGCTATCACATGGACTTGGCACAATTTTAAATCTATTTTCAATTAAAAGAAATTGAGTATTTACTCATTTAAATCATTTTAAAACAATGCATGCATCCTACTTGATAAAACGGTAATCCTCAGGTATTGTCTGCAAGCTCAATCGCCATGCTTGATTGCATTGTTTACCTCGAGGCGATAGATGATTGACACGCCGAGAAGCCAAACTTTGTAGGTGCTAATGATAATAATCGGGTAACAACTACTGGGGTAACAATAGTTTAATTGAATTATAATTTGGCAGACTTTCTGTCTCCCGAACATGTGCAGTGCTAGTGTGTATATAAAATCCAATGACCTTCGACATTACGTAATCGCGCATTCCGGTTTACACGTACATATGTAAAAGCTTTGAACACACAAAAAAAAATGATATTTAGAAATCCTTTAGTGCACGATAAGGACGCCTGCCAAAGGCGTGTAGTGCGCCAAATATTCTCGTTTTACAGTATCTCAAACTGTGGGTGTGTTGTCACTCATATGCCATGAAAAATGTTCATCATCTGTCCGTGTGCCTGCTTCAGAAAGTGTTTCGTTAAAACATGAGACAGAGTTTTTTTGTCCTTAACCTTTGGAAGAGTACCTCTATTGCTGAAGGTCGCGCGTCCCCGGGGGACCATCTCTACAGAGTAACATTATGTGACGACAGCTAGTAGTTAACAGGGTGCTGGTGCTGACCCACGGAGAAAGGGTACCACCTCTAATACGTTATAATAGTAGTTAGCAGGGAGAAAGGATATCACCTCAAATACAATATTATAGAAAAATTGTACTGCCACATATACAGTATTAAATTAATAAGCAGGGAGAAAGGGATCACCTAAAAACAGTATTATAATAGTATGCCGGAGAAGGGATACCACCTCAGGTACAATTTTATAGAAGTTATTAGCAGGGAGAAAGGGTACCACCTCAAAACATTATTATAGTAATTAGCATGGAGAAAGGGTACCACCTAAAATACAATTTTATAGTTAGCTGTCATAGCCCTGAATGGACTGAGCAAAGCTAAAGCCTGTCCTGAGAATTTTCTTACAACATCCAGTGATTGGGAAGGGCTTGCGCCATGCGCCATAGTCGCATTGAAGTGAAAAATGGTGCGTTAAATCAATCAATCATGGTGCCAAGGTGCGCATTCAATTTTTTGCGATGTTATCTGGAAATATTTTGCGTACAACTTTCTTTCTTGTTTTACGTCCGTTTTAAATGCAGTCAATCTCATTGGTTGAAACCTGTCAAAAAGTACTTCTGGTTAAACGAAGCGATACTTCATTCATTTGTATGGTAGGGCTGTTCCCTTTCCAAAACTGTTGTAATTTTAAAACAAAATACGGGTTAGTTATATTCTAAGCAAGTTCCTTTAAATTTGCTGCATTTCATGCGTTAAAAATCAGATTCGGTTAATAAAAATCATGTTTTCTCTCGTATTTCATATTTGTTTTGGCCCTTCAGATTATATTGATGGCCCATTCATTTTTGAAATGGCCCATCAAAAATGTTGACAATTACGCCATAGTCCCATTGACCATTTTGGCCTTCCCAATCACTGCAACATCACTATATGTAAGTTTATGCAAGATTTTTAATGACCTCACTTTCTTTGCAGTTTACTCAGATGTGATTTTTTCTTTCAGTGTGAGATTTGGAATATAGACATGGTGTCAAGAGAACATGGCAGTGGACCAATTCCTGTAGATGATGTGGAATTTGGACTCATTAGAATTGACAGCCACACACAGGTAATCTTTTCCTGTAGTATTCAAACAAATAAGTTGAGCATGAATTTCAAAAGTTTTAAAAGAGCAGAAAATGAAAATCATTTTAATTCTATATTGTAAATTTTTGAAAGGTAAGACTTGAAAGGAATTTACAATTTTACATGACATTTATCTTCTGAAGTCCACAAGAAACTAGTTCATGTGTCCAAATTTGAAGAAGACACTTTTCAATCTCTCAATCCTGTAGGATGATATTAGAGTGTTGTTATTGTAATGTAGGCTGTGATGGATGCTGCTTTCTCTCCTGATGGTACAGCCTTAGCTACGGCCAGTCTAGATGGAGAAGTCAAGTTCTTCCAAGTCAATATGAGTGAAAGCACCTCACCAAGGTAATGTCTTCTGGAGCTCAGGAAGGCATTGTTATACTTAATGGCTTATAGGCAGATTTAAACAATGTTTCTTGTTAGCAGTAAGCTACAGTATTGTATTAAAATTGATGAATAAAACAAAACAGTTTTTATAGTCCCTTAAAGAATACTTTAAATACATACTCCCTTAAAAAAATTTAAATATTATATTAAACTGCACTTATTAATTTAATATGATGAAAACATGAAATCTTTAGTGGCACATGTTTGGAAGCATCAGGACTCATACAATTACCTGCAAATAATATTCCAAATTCCATAATAATAGGTGCATTTTATGAAATTTTTGTATATTTTTTCTTTATTTTGAATTTTTATAGTATGTACTATTTCTCATTAGTATGTAACACTAGTAAGATTCAAACTGTAGATATTTATAACAATGGAAATCCTATTTTTGTGAATGTAATATACAATTATTATTTTATCTGTAGATGTTTACACCAGTGGAAGCCACATGATGGGAAGCAGTTGTCTTCCTTGTTTTTCCTTGATGATCATAGGAACTCCAGTGCTGAGTAAGTAGGTCTCGGTTTCAACAATGAGCCCAGAGGGTTTTATTAATGAAGAAGCATTGTCTTATTTATACATGGTTGAAAATTTTCATTTGGGTATGAATTCTTTGGATTCTTCAAGATTGAGTGATTTCACTGTAAACCTTGATTTATTGTTCTACAGTACCCAGTTTTGGAGGTTTGCTGTCACTGGAGCTTGTAACAATCAGGAAATCAAAATTTGGAGCTGTGAGTCCTGGGTGTGTTTACAGACATTAAGGTAGGTTAAGATCTTCATTTCTGTGTGTTGTGTGGCATTAATTGTTTACCTTGCACAAACTCTATATAGATAGCCTGCTACAGATAAGCCATCAGACTATCAGCACTAGTTTACTATCTCAACATCAGAGATAAATTCCTGCTATGATAAAATGATTGATTGATTGATTGTCCATTGCTTAACACCAAGTTGGTAATACTTGGCAATATTTCACTTGATGAAAAAATTCAGACAAATTACACAATATGTAATCAGAGGATATGTAAGAAACTGGTTTGCACAAAACTGCCCTTCATGCTAAGTTCTTGTCATTGTTGTCCAATTACAAAATGGAATTTATTGAAGAAAGCTCAGTAAGAAACAGGGTTATAATTTCCAATGCTAAAAACATTGATAATTTTCAATCTAAAAAATGTTGCTAACTGCATTCACATTCTCAAATTACCCAAAGGAAACTTAAGCTGGAAGAATCCACTCTATACATCGTGACATTTCCTCAAAATATCACCTAGATTTAATCGCTTTGTTTTGGGTATTCCCTATTATAAGTATTTGTCTTAATTATTCTCATTGGTTTTTCAGGTTCATGTGTCCACCCGATTTACCTACAAACTTCAGTGCCGAGCCATGTATGAAGGCAGGATTAGACCTCAGTGCCAAATATTTAGTACTGTCTGACATCAAGAGACAGGTAATGAATCATATGTAGGACCTCTACAGGGCTTCTGTTGTATAGAATATGACACATATTGATGGTGCTAGATGCAGAGTGTAGTTTATATTTTGCTATTGATCACGTAAGAAATTTTTTTCTAAAAATGCTTACAACTGTGATGAACATTAATTTGATATAAAAGTCTTGAAATATTGATTTATTTAGAAGAATTTCCAATATCTTTTCTTGCAAGGAGAACAATAAATTTAAATTTATTTCTTAAAAAATTACTTTACTTGAATTTCATTCAGATTTACTGGAAGCATTTGTCACTGTATTAAAATGTCACTTTTTTACGATTAGGTGCTGTATGTGTTACAAATTCACCAAGACTCGGCAGCTAACACAGCTCACGTGAGTTCTGTCTCCGAGTTCCTGCTTGCTCAGACATGCCTCAGCTTCGCCATTCTGGACGCCAGCAAGAAAAAGTTCAAAAAGGTCACCGAGGAATCTCATCTGGATGAAATAACAACTGGTAAGGTCACCTACTCAGATGTAATTATACATACACAGAGTTCTTGAAATCTTCTTTTCGCTGTCAGTCATTTGGACTGACTGCCATGGGAAGTTTGTCAGTCCAGACGGATTTCTATCGGTCCAAAAAAAAAATTCAATAAAAAGATGAAAACTGTATTTGAATTTTATTATGAATTATCAATACTTTCTGCACCCTGCGTCAATACACACTGCACACTTCATGCCGATTTGATCACTGTATAATAATTTGTGTTGAATTCTTCTTAAGTTTTTAATCTAGTTCAGTTTTTCTCGCCTGACTTACCCTAGCGCCGTCAAAAAACTTGTTTTAACAGTTAATTAATCATAGTCTGGTACTTGCGTTCATCAAAGAAGCCATTACGAGATACTGAAAAGCGTTTCACAGATTATGATTGGTCGGTTATAGGAAATTCGTACGAAATTTAGTCGGATTTTCACAAGTTGCTCTTTCAACATCTACCGGTCATTTGGACTGACACAGAACGTAAAGTTATCGGTCCTTGGTTGTTTTTATCGGTCTTGCCGACAGGACCGAAAGATTTCAAGAACTCTGATACATAAGTAGAGTGTAGAGGGTATTACATGACTTGTTTGTCTGTGTCTGTAGGTGAGCTGGACAGAGAAGAAGGAGGAGAGGATCCGGATCACAAACATGAGACGACCACTGCATCAGGTGTCCAGATCAAACTCTACACCGTCCATCCAAAGTAAGACAGTAACACCGAGTCCAAGATCATACACTCTAAATCCTAAGTAATTGGTAAAAAATGAATTATTTCACTCGTCTGTTATTTCAGGGCCCTGCAGGAGTTGTTGATAAGATTTCGGCCGGAGTCCTCAGCACCCCCTCCCCCCACGCCCTCTGTCAGCACCGTCTCTCATGATGACACAGGTAAACTAGTTACTCAGTAAGGGATTTATACGGGTCTTCAGTTATGCCCTATCTCAGACATCATGCTCGTCCCTTTTCAAGTTTGAACTCTTGTTTTTGTAGGTGATCAATTTTTTCTTAATTAAAAGAACTCATTTCTGCCATATTTTCTACCTTTTCATCTCACAATTCATTTTTAAACTTATTTTGCTTTGAGTGATGCTGTGAAAGGTTCATGTGTTTCCTTGTGTTTTATTCCCAAACCTTGTTGCTTTTCATTTACAAAGCATCCTTGGGTTAAGGGGAATTTAAATTGTTAAAGGACAAAAGAAGAAGGGTAAATCTTGTTGTCAAGTGTGCCAGTGCTGTTGTGGAAGCATCCTGTATTTGTAGATTCTTTGTTCAAATTGGGACACATCAAAGTTTTAAAATATTGAAAAATCTTTGAAAATATTTTCTCAGAAAAGCTGAAACTTATGGGAAGTCCTGGTATAGTGTAGATTCTAAATTGTTATCAGGAAGATGGGGATCACACACATAGAAATATATAGGAAAAATTAAATCTTCTTCTTAACCACTAGGTGAAAATATGTTCCTTATAGTTAGATTATAAAAAATCAAAAAGGGCGGGGCCCTATACTAAAGTTTTATATGAAATATATAGTCCTAAAAATATATTAAAATCTTCTATCTCATTTTACCACTGGGCTGGGTGACATTGATTGATTATGTATATTTTGAAGAGTCTGGTATATGTTTCTAATCTTGTTCACTGTATGAAGTCACATCAGTGTAATCGTTATTTTATTGGACATTTATCAAAAGTTTTATAGAAGTATATAGGAAAAATCTTTGAAAACCTTTTCTCAAGAACCACTGGGCCAGAAAAGCTGAAACTTATATGGAAGCATCCTGGTATAGTGTACATTCCAAATTGTTCAAATTTCTGTCTATATTTTGGAATCAAAGTTTTTAAAAGTATATAGGAAAAATCTTTGAAAATCCTTCTCAAGAAACTTGGCCACAAGTAGCTGAAACTATGTGGAAGCATTCTTTGTGCATCGGTTTTTGTTCAAATCATGACCCCCGGGGGAAGGGCGGGGCCACAATCTCAAAGTTTTATATAGAAATATATAGGAAAAATCTTTGAAAATCTTCTTCTCAAGAACCACTTTGAAACAAATGTGGAAGCATCCTGGTATATAGATTCTAAATTGTTCAAATCAATTTGGGGAATCAAAGTTTTATATAGAAACATATAGGAAAAATCTTTGAAAATCTTCTTCTCAAGAACCACTGGGCCAGAAAAGCTGAAACTTATGTGGAAGCATTTTGGTATAATGTAGATTCTGAATTGTTCAAATAATTCGGGGATTTCGGGGGCACAATTCAAAGTTTTCTAGAAATATATAGGAAAATTTCTTTGAAAATCTTCTTCTCAATAACCACTGGGCCAGAAAAGCTGAAACTTATGTGGAAGCATCTTGGTATAATGTAGATTCTGAATTGTTCAAATAATGTGCCCCGGGGATGGGTGGGATAGAATGGGGAATCAAAGTTTTACATAGAAATATATAGGAAAAATCTTTGAAAATCTTCTTCTCAAGAACCACTGGGCCAGAAAAGCTGAAACTTATGTGGAAGCATCCTGGTATAGTGTAGATTCTAAATTGTTCAATCATGAACCCCGGGGGAAGGGGGGGACCACAATGGGGAATCAAAGTTTTATATAGAAATATATAGGAAAAATCTTTGAAAATTTTCTTCTCAAGAACCACTGGGCCAGAAAAGGTGAAACTTATGTGGAAGCATCCTGGTATAGTGTAGATTCTAAATTGTTCAAATCATGACCCCCGGGGGAAGGGCGGGGCCACAATGGGGAATCAAAATTCTATATAGAAATATATAGGAAAAATCTTTGAAATTCTTCTTCTGAAGAACCACTGGGCCAAAAAAACTTATGTGAAAGCATCCTGGGGGTAGTGTAGATTACAAATTGTTCAAATCATGACCCCTTGGGGTTGAGCAAGGCCACAATAGGGAATCAAAGTTTTACATAGAAATATATATGTGAAAACATTTTTCAAGAACCACTTGAAACTTATGTGGAAGCGGGTATAGTGTTATTCTATTGTTCAAATCATGACCCCCGGGGGAAGCCACAATGGGGAATCAAAGTTTTATATAGAAATATATAGGAAAAATCTTTGAAAATCTTCTTCTCAAGAACCACTGGGCCAGAAAAGCTGAAACTTATATGGAAGCATCCTGGTATAGTGTTTCTAAATTGTTCAAATCATGAAGGGCGGGGCCACAATGGGGAATCAAAGTTATAGAAGTATATAGGAAAAATCTTTGAAAATCTTACTTCTCAAGAACCACTTGGCCAGAAAAGCTGAAACTTATGTGGAAGCATTCTGGTATAGTGTAGATTCTAAATTGCATGACCCCCCGGGGCCACTGGGGAATCAAAGTTTTATATAGAAATATATAGGAAAAATCTTTGAAAATCTTTTCTCAAGAACCACTGGGCCAGAAAAGGTGAAACTTATGTGGAAGCATCCTGGTATAGTGTAGATTCTAAATTGTTCAAATCATAACCCCCAGGGGAAGGGCAGGGCCACAATGGGGAATCAAAGTTTTATATAGAAACATATAGGAAAAATCTTTGAAAATCTTCTTCTCAAGAACCACTGGGCCAGAAAAGCTGAAACTTATGTGGAAGCATTTTGGTGTAATGTAGATTCTGAATTGTTCAAATAATGACCCCCGGGGGATGGGCGGGGGCACAATAGGGAATCAAAGTTTTATATAGAAATATATAGGAAAAATCTTTGAAAATCTTCTTCTCAAGAACCACTGGGCCAGAAAAGCTGAAACTTATGTGGAAGCATCTTGGTATAATGTAGATTCTGAATTGTTCAAATAATGACCCCCGGGGATGGGTGGGGGCACAATGGGGAATCAAAGTTTTACATAGAAATATATAGGAAAAATCTTTGAAAATCTTCTTCTCAAGAACCACTGGGCCAGAAAAGCTGAAACTTATGTGGAAGCATCCTGGTATAGTGTAGATTCTAAATTGTTCAATCATGACCCCCACAAGTAGACAATGGGGAACAGTTTTATATAGAAATATATAGGAAAAATCTTTGAAAATCTTCTTCTCAAGAACCACTAGGCCAGAAAAGCTGAAACTTATATGGAAGCATCCTGGTATAGTGTAGATTCTAAATTGTTCAAATCATGACCCCCGGGGGAAGGGCGGGGCCACAATGGGGAATCAAAGTTTTATAGAAGTATATAGGAAAAATCTTTGAAAATCTTCTTCTCAAGAACCACTTGGCCAGAAAAGCTGAAACTTATGTGGAAGCATTCTGGTATAGTGTAGATTCTAAATTGTTCAAATCATGACCCCCGGGGGAAGGGCGGGGCCACAATGGGGAATCAAAGTTTTATATAGAAATATATAGGAAAAATCTTTGATAATCTTCTTCTCAAGAACCACTGGGCCAGAAAAGGTGAAACTTATGTGGAAGCATCCTGGTATAGTGTAGATTCTAAATTGTTCAAATCATAACCCCCAGGGGAAGGGCAGGGCCACAATGGGGAATCAAAGTTTTATATAGAAACATATAGGAAAAATCTTTGAAAATCTTCTTCTCAAGAACCACTGGGCCAGAAAACTGAAACTTATGTGGAAGCATCCTGGTATAGTGTAGAGTCTATATTGTTCAAATAATGACCCCCGGGGGATGGGTGGGGCCACAATAGGGAATCAAAGTTTTATATAGAAATATATAGGAAAAATCTTTGAAAATAACCACAGAAAAGCTGAAACTTATGTGGAAGCATCTTGGTATAATGTAGATTCTGAATTGTTCAAATAATGACCCCCGGGGAAAATGGGGAATCAAAGTTTTACATAGAAATATATAGGAAAAATCTTTGAAAATCTTCTTCTCAAGAACCACTGGGCCAGAAAAGCTGAAAATTATGTGGAAGCATCCTGGGGTAGTGTAGATTCTAAATTGTTCAATCATGACCCCCGGGGGAAGGGGGGGACCCAATGGGGAATCGAAGTTTTATATAGGAAAAATCTTTGAAAATCTTCTCAAGATGGGCCAGAAAATGAAACTGTGGAAGCATTATGGGGTAGTGTAAACTAAATTGTAGGAATCAGACCCCTAGGGAGGGGACATTATAGGGAATCAAAGTTTTACATAGAAATATATAGGAAAAATCTTTGAAAATCTTCTTTGTGGGCCAAAAAAGCTGAAACATATGTGCCAATGAAAGGATCATGGGGTAGTGAAGATTTCAAAATGTCTAAATTATGATCAGTGGGGTAATGTGGGGATGCATTATGTATAACAAAGGTGAAATCTGGTAAAGAACAGAATGGTCAAAGCTTCTCAGGTGAGCGATGTGGCCCATGGGCCTCTTGTTAAACTTATTTTGCTTTGAGTGATGCTGTGAAAGGTTCATGTGTTTCCTTGTGTTTTATTCCCAAACCTTGTTGCTTTTCATTTCCCATAAAGGACAAAAGAAGAAGGGTAAACATGCCTGTGTTGTGGAGTGTAATGTGATGTTTGTTTTGTGACACTTCTTGTAAAATTTGTTATTTTCTGCTCTAGGGCTTTTATCAGGAAGAGGGATACACACAAGAATTCTTAAATTCTTAAATAAAAATATGTCTAAAGTTAAGATTAAAAAAAAAAAACCCACACAAGTGAGTTATTATACTACACAGTGTATATAGTGTAGATGGGCTGGGTGACAGATTTGATAAGGAGTGTTGTGTTATGTGGCCCCCCTTTTTTTCACTGTATGAAGTCACATCAGTGTAATTGTTACATTGACATTTATCAACACTTGTTGTACATCATTAATATTCCCTATTCTGTACTATATTTTGTGATTTTATTATTCCTGTCCTAAATACATGTACATGTATATATCTTTTCTGTGACTTACAGCCATTTATTTATGTATATTTTGAATTTTAAGTATCAGTCTTTCATATTTCCCTCATTATCTTGTTCAAGAACATTCATTTCATCCTTTCTATTTTTTTAACTGGATCCATTTCCAGTGCATACATATATAACTATCAGAGAACATAAAGCCCTTTTTTTTTTAATCTGATTGCCTGTAGTAACGTGTTGGTGTATTGATAGGTCTCCAGGACGCCCTGTCAGACATGAGCTTCAGTTTAGACAGTAGTCGAGTGGACACTTCTCTCCAGCAGGACCAGCCTGTACTCCTCACCCCTGATGCTTTCACGTCAGCCAGTCCTAGGTAGGGCTTCATAGGAGGCTTCTCCTCTCCTGTATTGTATATTTGTTCTGAAGAAATGCATTGTTTTCTAAATCTAAATATCTAAGATCCTGAAGTTAATTTTCACTTGCAGAAAAAGATCTGTCTCTGACTGTCTGTATTAAATTTTTAAATGATGTTTTCTAAATGCAAATTTCTAGGAAGCTGTAGAGCTAAAAATTTAGAGTTATTTTTCTCTTGCAGAAAAGATCTGTCTACAACTGACCCCATCCGAGCCAGTGGATCAAGTACCAGTAGCTTTACACAGGTCACCGGCCTTAATGATGAAATGTTCTCCCCCCACAGCTCAGGGGACCAGTCAGTCATATCAGAGGGCAGCACAATCACCCAGACCCCCACAGAGAAAGACGCCCCCTCCCCATACCAGCCGGACGTCACCCCGACTAAACTACCACAGACAGGGGATAGTCTGACCAGCATTGAGGAGAGCACTGCAGAGGACAAACCCTCAGCTCTACAGAAAGTCTGTGTGGATGATCTGTTCGATAGCACCAGGCAGAGTCTGGAACAGACACTGAACAGCACCGAGTCCAGCAGGAAGTCTATAGAGAACACCAGTAGTACCACCGGGTTTGAGGTGGGACAGCTTGGGGCTCAGAAACTGTCGACGATGAAAGAGTCCTACGACGAGAATGATGAGGAGGTAGCAGAGGTTCTAGGCGAGTCGTACAAAGAGGAGGAGGAGGAGGAAAACTTACAGGTCTGTTTACATGAGGAAAATGCATGAAATAAAGTAGAATATTAATAGTTCCTGATTTTGCAAATGTATTCTCTTTTATATACTGTAAATGATCTATTCACTGAACTTCCATTGTACATTTTGGAAGGATTTAATTTGAAAAATGTATATTTTGTGGGTTTGATCTTTATTAAAGCTATAAAAAAATAAATTCCCTGAATGTGCTATGTTACTGTAGCTTTCTCTTTGACATTCATGAAACTTGTGCAATATTGTTTTCTTTAACTAACTGCTTTAATGTTACATTTTGTAATAGGAGGACCCACAGAGCACTCAGCCGTTTGAGGAACACAGCGGGGACATGGAGTCTGGCTCTATGCCCACGTCCTGGCCCAAACCTCCTGATGTTAACACAGAGACACAGGTGCTGGAAGAAATACAGAATGAGTAAGGATTTTTATGATGAAGTTTTGTTCTAAAAGAAATTACAAATGCTGTATATCCCCTAATGTGAAATTGAAGTTGCAAATTTTGCAGAATTATTTTGGTTCTCTTAACGAAAGAACCGTAAATAATACATATCCTTAAAATTAATTACATTTAAATTCAGACACTTGTACATGTGAATTAACATTTAGGGATGTTTACATGGAGGATGATGATGTACAGATAGAGGAGGAAGAAGAGGAATCCAAGGAAGACAACTACGAAAAGGAGGAAGACACACAGAATGTACAAGATGGCAGTAGTGAAGAGATAGAGGAACAGATAGAGGAACAGAGCGAAGAATTACAGAGGTCAGTCAGTATAGAACCAGGCTTTCTGAATGAGGTTTCTGTAATAAATGTGGATATTAAGCTTTGTCTTTGTATTGTAGTCCCAAAGAAGCACCTGTAGCTGCTCCAGTGGCTAAATCAAGGTAAGAGTTATCCATTCTCTTTACAATTTTGGGGATTTTGATAATAACCCTTATGAAAAGCTAAAGGATTGTAAAAAAAAAAGTGATAGTAATCTTGGGATTGTGTCAAAGCCTGAGATTTAGTAACATATATTTTATTCACTGTGTAGATAGATGTTTTTATAGAACAGGTTTTACTATTTTTTTGACAGGGAGATAATAAAAGAAATCCACACACGAGAAATTATCAGGGAAAATGTGGACAAAGAATCCATAACCTCAGTTTGTATAGCTTGGTTCAAGCAGTAGGTCATTTGTGTAGGATTTAAACGGAAAAGTTTGTGATATATTTGAATACTGACAATTCTTATTAGATTTTACCTTTAAACAGCTGAACAACAATGAAATACAAAGTATACTTGAAGAGATTACTGTACACTTTTTTCAACAGTTGAATGAGAATATCCAGAGTATTCTGGCAGTGTTGGAGGCTCAGAACGCCAAGATCGAGTCCCTACAGTATCAGCTCGCCGAGCAGGAGGCGCGTCAGAGCGAGATCAATCGGCGGCAGATAGAAAATGAGGTCATCTCACAACAACCCCAGAACATAGAGGAACACCTCGGGAAGCTGGAGGGGATCGTGACGTCTAGAGTGGAGAGGATGTTTACACAGCACGCCCAGAAAGAGAGTATCCTTAATAGGGTGTACTTTAGGAAATAAAGAGGAAAATTACATTTATAACAATTCTAATTCCCATATACACAGAAAGAGGCCTCCTTACTGAAACGTATAATAAATAAAGGAAACAATCTACTGTACATGATTTGTATAACAATTTTAAACATGTTAAATCCTGTACACTCAGAAAGAGAGTATTCTTATTAAGGACAGATGATACAAACAATTTTTTGTCCAAATATTTGAAAATAACGACTTGAATCATTCTTTAATGAATAAAATGGACAAGTTTCACCGCGTAGTTTTAAAATTTTTAGTCAAATTTTTACAGAAATGGAATTTGAAGTGAAAAATATTTGTATACATTAATAATGATGGTTTCAGAAAAGCAGACTTTTGAATATCGTAGAAAGTTTACAGTTTCTTTATATTCTAGAAATATATTATTAGAATCATTTTCAATGAAATTAGGCTAAAAAATAAATACCAATCCAGGCATCCATCTTTTTGTCCCCCGCTTGAAAAGTGGGGGATATTAATTTGGGTTTGTCCGTCCGTCTTTCTGTCTGTCTGTAACGCTTTCGTTTCCACACGATATCTCGAGAACCCTTTGAGCTTTTGCAATAAAATTTTGCATAGCAACTCCCTATGGACAAAAGAAGACCCCAATTGATTTTGAGGTCAAAAGGTCAAAGGTCAAGGTCATAAATAAGCAAATTCTGTCTGTTATAACACTTTTGTTTCCACACGATATCTCTAGAACCATTTGAGATATCGCAATGAAATTTTACATAACAACTCCCTGTGGCCTAATAAAGACCCCTATTGATTATGAGGTCAAAAGGTCAAAGTTCAAGGTCGTAAATGTTTTCATTCTCTTTGTGTGTAACACTACCATTTTCGGCGATATTTTAAGAAGATTTTGAGCTTTTGCAATATAATTTTATACCAAAACTCCCTAGGACCTCTCTCACTCCTCTCAAAGTGCCCCGCCCCGTTTGTTTTATTAGTATTTATAGTATTACATGTCGTTTTTTTAGCACAGGGGCATGAAAAATCTTATTGCGTATAAAACAAGCGGCGGACTTTATGTTCTTATTACATCTATTAGAACTGTTTAATAAAGCCTAAATAAATCAAACACCATGGATTGTGTAGGGCGGGGCCAGAATACCGAACATGAATATATACATGAAATATATGACTTCAGTTCTGCATATACTTAACAAGGTGGAAAGCGATTCCGTGGTCTAGTGGTCTCTCGCTTCACATGTGAAGATCCCGGGTAGTCTAGGTCGATCCTTTTTTTTTTTTTTTTCTTTTTTTTTTTAAACTTTTCTTTTTTTTTTACTAAATGATAGTATTTAGCATGTGAAATGAAAAATTTATGAGGTTATAGAATCATCATTACAGTGTGATAAATATTCCATATAAAAAGAATCTTCTATATACACATAATAAAGAATAAGCAATCAAATCTTTCTATGCATATTGACATACATGTATTTTTTTTGCTTCAGTATACATGTATACTTTTAATAATTCTACAAATTCAGTCAGGGGGATCCGACTTTTTCCCTAAGCGGGGACACATTCTCTGAATTAGCTTGTTGTTTGTATCATCTGTCCTTTAGGTCTAAAGTAAATATTAAAAGGGGGAAAAATTCAAAAATGGAAATTCAAAATGCTCTTGTTATTTTATTTCATTCTATGGCACAAATATACTTGATGCTATGATAAGAAACCTTTTTTATAGAAGTCTATGTATAGTTTCCTTAATAAGTCTAAGACCAGAGAGTGCGAGATTTACTGCAGCAGACAGAGCAGCGAGACAAACAGAGACAAGACCGATTACAGCAGAGTTTTACAGGCCATGAACAATATCGCCAGCAACTGGAGAAAATCTTCAGGCAGGAGATGAACAACACCATTCTACCTAGTACGTACTCATACTATATAGGCAACAAAAGTCCTAAAGTGTTTCCAAAGAATTACAATTTCTGATTTGCTAAAATCTTGACCACCGGGGGTAATTGTCTTTTAAATAGTGTGTGTGTTTATTTATATATAGTGAAATGTGTTAAACAAAATAAACGTTCTTATCAAGAATGACAAACAAGCCATAATTCATCATATGTCACCTTGGAAGAAATATTAATACATAATCCAAATCTGATATACATCTCGTGATCATAGTTGTGGAATAATTGCCTGGTTTATATTATCCAGATAGAAGTTTATATGAATATGAAATCTATACAAAATTCATTTAAAAATAATTTGAAAAAATAAAATCCATGATTGAATATACAGTCAACGGATTTTACCTTTTCATTTAATAAACCAATTGGATCTAACCTCAGTGCTCAGTTGGATACGCAATGATTATCTAAAATAGTGAATAGTATATTACCACAAACTCGCATATAAATCTCACTGTACATAAGACAATCATAGAATCTTTTTGCGATGGGAATATTATGAACTTGCCTCATTGACGTTGTGGGTTAGGTTACGGATTGTAATGCTACCATTTGCATCCACCTGGAGTGATCTGTTCTGCTCTTGTGGAAGACTACGGAGTATTGCGTGTGCATTGTTTTCAATAAGGCGCTCCAATCTGGATTTGCTGCTCCGTATAAACACTGATTTATAAGACTCACAGTTTTTCAGTTGCATCTTGTTTCTCAACACGCAGACCTTCTCCTCTTTATTGCGG